AGATCTAAAACTGAATATATAGAGTGTAATTTTAGTAGCAATAGACCTAGTGAGGGGATTGTGACTTTGAGCGATCAAGTCATTAATAAGAGTACACATTTTAGCTATCTTGGATCTATTGTTCAGAGTAATGGTGAAATAGATGGGGATATTATAAGCAAAATTCAAGTTGGATGGTTGAAGTGGAGGAATGCATCGGGCTTGTTGTGCGATAAAAAAGCCTCCCTCAAACTTAAGGAAAAATTCTATAAGATAGTGGTGAAATCTGCAATGCTTTATGGTGCCCATTTTGACCATTAAAAGAGAAGCATAATACTAAGTTAAGTGTTGCAGAGATGAGGATGCTTAGGTGGATGAGTGGCTTTACCCTTAGAGATAGGATACAAAATGAGCATATACGTGAAAAGGTTGGAGTAACTCCAGTGGAAGATAAGATTAGAGAGAGTCGCCTTAGATGGTTTTGTCACATTAAACAAAGGCCTTCCGATTACCCGGTTAAGAAAGTTGAGGTATTAGATTTGACTTATGTTAAGAAAGGTAGAGGTAGGCCTAAAAGGATTTAGTTAGAAAATATTAGAAATGATATTTCTTTATTAGATTTAAATGAGAATTAGACTTTTAACATGACACATGAGGGAGGGAGTTTACACCTTTCCTGTATGGAATCTTTTGATTTTTGTTGTGCATAATTTCCAAACCACCTAACTCTACTTTTTTTTTTGAAATTTTATTTCAGTAAGGGGTATCCCTCTTATCTTTCTTAATAAAATTATCTCTCACTATAAATTTGCTAGCTTAAGTGCTTTACCATACAACCGTTTTAATATTCTTATTTATATTATACTCAATTTGTATGTTAATGACTTCTATTTTCCTTAACAATTGAATTCATATAGCATAATTAATCTAATTCCAATTATTAAAATTATCTTTAGTTGCCATGGTATTCTCTTAGCATATTTTCCATGAGGCACTTCTCTATTTTAATTAATTGACTTTATCTTTAATGCTTATACCCTCAATCTTTGACGCACACACATTAGTGCTTTTGAGTTCTTGCTAGTATTGACCATCATGCTTAAGTATTTTCGCATATACTTTATGTCATCATATATGATAAGCTATAATGTATTGTAAATGTTAAGTTTTATATGAATTAACTCTCTAAAAAAATTGAG